ATCAACTCAATTAATTGTATATTGAGTTTAAGTTCAAGTCTTAATTCTTAATCCCCCCACCCCCCTCTCTGTCTTTATGTGTGTGCTGGTCCTGGGGCTTTAAACATAGGGCCTGAATGCTCTCCCTGAGCTTTTTTGCTTGAGGCTAGCACGCTGTCACTTGTGGTACAGCTGTTTTTAGCTTTTTGGTGGTTAATTGGAATGAGTCTCACTTCTGCCTGAGCTGGCTTTGAACTTCCCTCTCAGATCTCAGCCTCCTGAGTCTTTAGGGTTACAGGCTGGAGCCACCATTGACCAGCCTCATCTCTTTTCTTTTACCACTGCTCTCCCTGTGTTATGTACATAGTAGGTTATCAATAAATGTTTATAAGTGAAATTATTTGTTCTCTTAGTCTGAGATTTATTTCCTACTTGTGGATTATAATTATTTTGACACAGATTGCTAAATAAGCAAGGGTAGATTGCATCATCTCTTTGAAATATCTTTGTTATGAAACTGGTAACGCCTTCCCTGAGAGAGTTAGATTATAATTAGTAAAATGCTTTGAAGATGAAAAAGTTAAGGTAGAACATTATGAATCCTGTTAAAGGTAAATTGTTAGTATCAGGTTTGTAGATAGAAGCTTTCCCAAAGCTTGAAGTTAATTAAATGATGCTGAAGTAATTATTTTGTAGCTATTTACATCTTGTTTATTTGTATTACCTCATCTTGAAGGAGCCTTTTATAATGATATTTATACTGAGTCTTAGAGGGGATTGAAACCCTCACATGAGAAGTAAATACATAGGATCATATGCCTTATATTGCCTCATATTATTCTTGAGCTGTGCTATTTGCCTGAGGTCCTCTAACGTTTATGTGTTAAGTATCATTTGGAGGCATTATTAAAAATCTTCCCCTTCCAGAGAGTCTAGTTCAACAGGTTATAGTTCTGTAATGACTAAGACAAGTGATTTCTGTTTTTGTATGTAAGAAAAGCTGTCTATTCTGTTTAACTGGGTTGCTTAAAAGTTCATGCTGGGGGCTGGGAAGGTGGCTCAGTGGTAGAAGCCTTGAGATGAAGAGCTGAGGGACAGTGCCCAGATCCAGAGTTCAAGCCCATCTACCAAACCATAAATAAATTAAATAAGGAACTGCTTTGGGATAAGGAAGGGTAAACTTTTATCTGGTGGAATGAAGACACACCTCACATTGTTCTGGAAATTACAGGGTATGGATGTGTTTTGAGATTGCTTGTGAACTGTTATTCTTATTTTAAAGTCACCTTATGTAAATACATCTTACCCTCTGTTCAGACTAGCCTGTCAGGAGTAATTGTGAACCTGAGCTCAACCAATCTGAGCAGGAGGGGCAGGGCCTTCTTTTTTTAGGTGTTAAAGAGGGAGCAGCCTCTGTTTTGTGCTGGTTTGCTAGATTTTTAGCTGATGGCACACCCTTCTGAAGAAGTAGTGTTTTGGCCTGATGAGGCATTATGGAGCCTGTTGTGCTTCGGTGATTATTGGAGAGAATATTTCTAGTAAGTAGTATGTAGGTAACAGTTTAACAGTGGAACTGAAAAAAGGCAGTAGAATATGACAATGGCTAATAAACAGACAAGCTCACTTATTGATATTTAAAAAATACATACTCAGATTATTTCAAAATGCTGGATTTCAAATATGATGTACTTTTTGGTGTTTGTTTCCATAGTAAATGTACTTGTTTCCAGTTTGTGTTTGGGAAACTTAGTACCTAAGATGGTTCGTGAATAAAGAGCTTAGAGCCCAGCACTGGTGGCTCACACCTGTAATCCTAGCTACTCAGGAGGCTGAGATCTGAGGATCACAGTTCAAAGCCAGCTTGGGCAGGAAAGTCTGTGAGACTCTTATATCCAATTAACCACCAGAAAACTGGTAGTGGCACTGTGGCTCAAGTGGTAGAGCCACTTGAACTGAAGAGCTCAGACAGAGCCCAGGCCCAGAGTTCAAGCCCCACGACCAACCAAAAAAATAAAATAAAAGAGCTTAGTCAAATAAGTCAAATAAAAATTGTGAAACAATTGTGTATAAAAGTTGCAGGTAGTAGAACATACTAACTTAGGTTAGATTTTTCAGGAAGATTTTATGGAAGAAATGGGTCTCAATGAAAGAGTGATTGGATTTGATTGGAAGGACTAATTCTGACATCTATCTGAATAGGTAGTTTATAGGTGTTAGTTTCTACATCCACAACTTATTAGGACAAATGATGTGTCTTCCCCAGCAATTACTTTTTGATTATGTTACATAATAATGCTTTTGTTCTGTTATTGAGATAGTGTTAAGGATTGAACCCTGGAACTGGGCATGCCTCTGAGCTTCCTCTCACCTTATATAATAATGCTTTTCAAACTGTAATGCACACATGTCACCTGGGGATCTTGTTAAAATGGCTTCTGGTCTAATAAGTCTGGGAGTGGAGCCTGAGGTTCTACATTTTTTATGTGTTCCCATATGGATATTGCTTATGCTTGGTTTCAAAATACTGACCTTCACTAAAAGGAAGTAGCTAACTGTTGGGCCATGAAAGGGAAATAGAAGATAACCTAGAGAATTGTGCCAGAAAATAAGAAACCACTTAAAATGATGGCACATGGCTGGTACGGTGGCCCACAACTATAATCCTAGCTTCTTAGAAGGCCAAGATCTGAGGATCACGGTTCAAAGCCATCTAGGGCAGGAAAGTCCATGAGACTCTTATCTCCAATAAACTACCAGAAAACTGGAAGTGGTACTGTGGCTCAAGTGGTAGAGCACTGAGCCTTAAGCTGAAGAAGAGCTGAGGGATAGCATTCAGGCCCAGAGTTCAAGCCCCATGACCCCCCCCTCCTCCCCCAAAAGATGGCACATGGCAACCTGTAAAGGAATCATTTTGCCTTTTTTTTTTTTTTTGGGTCCAGTTGTGGGGCCTGAACTCTGGGCCTGGGCGCTGACCCTCAGCTCTTGGCTAGTGTTCTACCACTTGAGCCACAGCGCCACTTCCGGCTTTTTTCTTATGTGGTGCTGAGGAATCGAACCCAGGGCCTCCTGCATGCAAGGCAAGTGCTCTACCACTGAGCTACCTTCCCAGCCCCTAAAGGAATCATTTTGAAGGGGCTTTAATTTGAGCAACTTCATAAATGAAGGATTACAGCTCATCGCAGAAAGTAACAATTGATATAAATGAGTAAGTAAAGGGGGAAAAGGAAAGCTCTTCCAGTAGAGTGCTAGGTGAAAATGGAGGATGTAGGAATTAGTCACTGTCATAGGGAGATTAAGGTGGAGATTTGGCTAAGGACCCAAGTGTCAGAATGTTATTATTATAAATTATCTTAATGTTACCTAATCAGATACAAAGGGAAAAGTAGTTATTTTACACTGGAGAAACCTGGCACACCAACTTGACGGGATGATCATGGTTAATACCTTCAGTGGTCTGAAGGTTGAGTAATATACATAGAATCATTTCCACATAGTCCTTTCAAGGTATATAGCCTAAATGTGAGGAATATCAGATGCAGATTGAAGTAGTGTCTTAGACAATGAAAGTGTTGTACTCTTGTAGTCAAGGGCATGAAAGAAAAAGACTTGAAGCAATGTTCCAAATTGAAGGAGACAGAAGTGATAACAGGGCTGGGAAGGTGGCTCAGTGGTAGAGCGCTTGCCTTGCATGCATGAGGCCCTGGGTTCCATTCTTCAGCACCACATAAGCAAAATGAAAAAAGCTGGAAGTGGTGCTGTGGCTCAAGTGGTAGAGTGCTAGCCTTGAACTGAAGAGCTGAGGGACAGTGCCCAGGCCCAGAGTTCAGGCCCCACAACTGGACCCCCCCAAAAGAAAAGTGATAACAGAAGTGATAACTATATGTAATATATTATTCCTGGATATGATCTCAGACCTGAAGAGAAACATTACTGAGAAACTTCGTAAAATTTCAATGTGTTTGTGGACTGGCTCATCTTATACCTGATTGGGAGTATTGGGTAGTAGTTTTATAAAGTGTCCTTAATCTGGAAGGCATATGTTGGACTATTTAGGCATAATGTCACAGACTGTACGTCTGTAGGTATATATCCTCAGCCATATCTTTTCTTGAAAATTAATATAAGAAACTAAGTACACTTAAAATTTGTTATAGTTATTATTTTGTGTTATCAGAGGTTGAATCTAAGGACTGTTAATCCAAGTACTCAATCACTTGGGCCATTCCCCCAACTTCTAAGTAGTTTGTTTGGTTATACTTTTCATTTTTGTTGATAAGATCTGGTTATGTAGTCTGGGTTGAACTTGAACTTGAACTTCTCCTGTCTGAGCTTCCTGAGTGTTGAGGTTGCAGGGGTGTATCACCATGCTTTGTCTTCTCTGTTTATAATTTTAACCTTTCTAATTTCTCTCTATATAGATAACTACTTTTTTTTTGGTCAGTTGTGGGTCTTGAATTCTGGACTTAGGCACTATCCCTGAGCTCTTCAGCTCAAGGCAAGTGCTCTGCCACTTAACCCAAAACACCACTTCCAGTTTTCTGATGGTTAATTGGAGGTAAGAGTCTCATGGATGTTCCTGTGCTGGCTTTGAACCTCGATCCTCAGATCTCAGCCTCCTGAGTAGCTAGGATTACAGGCGTGAGCCACTTGTGCCCAGCGATAACTACATTTTGATACATATGTATTATGACTTAGTAAATATTTGTTGATTAAAAAATACTTTTTTTAGCTTAATCCTGGTAACTCAGGAGGCTTAGATATGAGGATCACAGTTCAAAGCTAGCCTGGGCAGGAAAGTCCATGAGACTCTTATCTCCAATAAACTACTCAGAAAAAGCTTGAAGTGGCATTATAGCTCAAGTTGTAGAGTGCTAGTGTTGAGCACAAAGAAGCTCAGGTACAGTACAGAGGCCCTGAGCCCCAGGAACAACAACAACAATAACCAAAAACAATTTTGGTTATCCGAGAGTATTAGTTTGTTTTCATTAAAATAATAAATATGATTTAATGTTGTCTTTCAGAAAGATGAAATTGATGGTAGTTTGAGTGATAGCCAAGTATCTCCTCCAGCGAAACGCACTTTGAAACAACCAGAATCAGTTTGCAAAGACAAATCAAAATCTCGAAGTACTGGTCAGCGAGAGGAATGGAACATAACAAGTGGTCAGACCAGGTGAGAAAGGAGAATTCATGGGTTGTTTTTTATATATTATTTGATGTGATTCAGGACTGATATTAACGCTAATAGTTTTACCTTCTAAAACATGTACCATATAAATCTAATTTACAGTAAATGTACTTTATTTGTATGTATTTTTGTCTGTAATTTTGTTTTTCCTAAATATGCTGTAAAATATATTTGTTTTATAATGATATATAGTACCTAATGGAAACTAGTGTATAATAGAATAGAAAATGAATGTATTACACATATATGTAGTAAGTCATAGAAACTGCTATTACTCTAAGAATAAGGATGACTCTTGATTGCACATTTGTAGCTGTAGATCTAAAATTTTAAATGAGACATGGGTTAGATCTGTCTGCTCAATTGGAAAATAAAAATCTCCCGTGATCACTATTGGATATTGTACTTGAGCTGATACACTAAATTATAACAATTTTTTATTCAATTTTAAAGCAATTTTGTTACCTGTTACATTATTTTCAACTTAATTTTTTTGTTTTTTGTCGGTCATGGGTCTTGAACTCTGGGCCTGGGCTCTGTCCCTCAGCTCTTCAGCTTAAGGCTAGCGCTCTATCACTTGAAACTTCTGGTTTTCTGGTGGTTTATTGGAGATAGGAGCCTCACAGTCTTTCCTGCCTGGGCCGCTATCCTCAGATCTCAGCCTCCTGAGTAGCTTAGGATTACAGGAGTGAGTTACCAGTGCCCGACTCAACTTAATTTTTTTTGTGTCAGGTTTAGTGTGCTTACAATTTAGTTTTATCCACTATTGATAGTAAATGACAATAATTTCATTTAAAAAGAACAACCTTAGGCTTATATGAACTTCAACAGATTATATATTTTATTAACCCCTAAAAAGTTGTAATTATAGCCAGGCGCTGGTGGCTCACACTGGTAATCCTAGCTCCTCAGGAGGCTGAGATCTGAGGATCGAGGTTCAAAGCTTGATGCCCATGGCTCATGCCTGTAATCCTAGCTACTCAGGAGGCTGGGATTTGAAGGTTGCAGTTCAAAGCCAGCCTGGGCAGAAAAATCCACGAGACTCTTATTTCCAATTAAACACCAGAAAACAGGAAGTGTGGCTATGGCTCAAGTTGTAGAGCACTTGCCTTGACTGAGCTGAAGAGCCGTTTCCTAACGCTCAAGACCTATGACTGACCACAAAAAAATTTGTAATTATTATAGTATGTTCCATAGGTTCCCCGCCCCCCATTGCCTGGGAAGTAAGTAGAAACACACATAAAATCATAGCCTGTTAACTTTTTCCTTGTTCTCACACACAATCATTTATGAGATAACACAGGCATTATAAACTACACAGTATTACTTCAAATGAGTATTGACAACCAGGGATAGTGACACATGCCTGCAGTTACACCTACTCTGGAGCCAGCCCAAGAGTATAAGACCAACTTACCCTATCACCTCCAAATAAAATAAGAGAGGTGAAAGTATGCTGTGTGTGTGTGTCTGTGCATGTGTGCGCACGCACGTGTGTGTGTGAGTGTGTGTGCATGTGCACACGCATGTGATACTGGGCTTGAACTTAGGGCTCTGAGTTCTTCCTATCTTTTTCCACTTAGGATTGGTACTCCACTACTTGAGCCACACCTCCACTTCTGGCTTTTAGGTTATTTTGTAGATAAGAGTCTCTCAGATTTGTCTGTCTGGGCTGGCTTCAAACCATGATTTTCAGCTCCTCAGTAGCTAAATTATAGGTGTGAACCACTAGTGCCTGGCTCCTTTGTTTTATTTTTGGTGCTGGTCATGGGATTTGAACTCAGGGTTTGGGCGCTATCCCTGAGTGTATTTTTCTCAGAAGTGCTCTGCCACAGCTTCCCTTCTTTCTATTTCTTTCTTTCTTTCTTTCTTTCTTTCTTTCTTTCTTTCTTTCTTTCTTTCTTTCTTTCTTTCTTTCTTTCTTTATAGTTTAGTGGAGATAAGAGTCTCACAGACTTTGCTGTCCTAGATGACTTTGAACTCTTGATCTTTAGCTGTTAAGCCTCCTGAGTAGTTAGTATTATATGTGTGAGCCACCAGGACCTGGCTTCCCCCCCCCCTCCCTTTTTTTTTTTCCTAGTTCTGGGGCTTGAACTCAGGGCCTGGACACTGCCCCTGCTGAACTTTGTTTCTTTCTTTTTTTTGGGGGGGTCCGGTCGTCGGCCCTGAACTCTGGGCCTGGGCACTGTCTCTCAGCTCTTCAGCTCAAGGCTAGCGCTCTACCACTTGAGCCACAGCGCCACTTCCGGCTTTTTTCTTTTTGCTTATTTGGTGCTGAGGAATTGAACCCAGGGCCTCATGCATGCAAGGCAAGCGCTCTACCACTGAGCCACCTTCCCAGCCCTGAGCTTTCTTTTGCTCCAGGCTAGCACTCTACCACTTGAGCCACAGTGCTACTTCTGGCTTTTTCTGTTTATGTGGTATTGAGGAATTGAAACCAGGTTCTTCATGCATGCTAGGCAAGCACTCTACCACTAAGCCACATTCCAGCCCTCCCTTGTTTTTTAATGTTTGAAATAATTATTTTACAAAGCTGTCTTAGTTTTTATTGACTGACTTCATTATGTAATTTACTTTTTGTCATTTAAAAATGAGCAGTGAAATGTTTTGAAGCAATTACTAAATGATATTGATAGTTACTTTTTCTTCCTATGATTTATTGTTTGAATTTGTTATGGTTTGAAATTTATTTTTTCACTCCTACTTACTGTCTCATTTAAGTTTATGCTACATGTTACAGTTAAGCCTTTTTAATTAGGATTTTAATTTGTACAGGGATAATAAAGTAAATTCTGTTTATAATTTGTTATAAAAAGCTTTTCTTGAAATAATGAAATGACTCCTACCTAGTATTATTTTTTTGATATGTTCCTAATTATAGAGTAAAAGATTGAAATACAATTCTATCAGTATAGTATTAATGTTTATATAAATAAATTTTGATAACGTTTTCTTATTAAATATAATTACATTCCAGGTTAACTTCTCAGCCTGGTGCTGCATTACCAAATGGACATAGTAGCTTATGTGAGTATTTTGTTAATGAACTGGCTGATACTGAAATTCTTATAATAGATTAGGCATTACATTGGGCAAAAATTGAGATTTATTATTGTTTCAATAATAATTATTACTAATTTTTATGGTACTTAGGATGGAAGTTGTGGTTTTCCACATTTGAGGCAACCACTCTACCTCTGAGCCATATCCCTTAGTTCTTAGATTGATTTGATAGTATGCTTAGCACATAATTGGAATCATTGGATTTCAGTCATAGCAAAAATGAACAGATTTGTTACATTTTTAGAAATCAGTATAATTGAAATTCTTATTATAAAATGGCTAATTTTAAAGTATTTTAAGAGGTTTTGTTCAATTTTGTAGTTGTTAAGTTTTTGATTTTTTTTCTTTCTAAAGTCTGTACTTTGAAATATCTCTTTTCTTGTAGCCCTTCGAAGCCATCCCCTTCGAGGTGAAAAGAAGGGAGATGGGGACCTTTCTTGTATAAATGGTGACATGGAAGTCAGAAAAAGTTGTCGTTCCAGGAAAAATAGATTTGAAAGTGTGAACCAGAGTTTGTTATTTGATCAACTAGTAAATAGGTATGAATTTTTAGTTTCATTTAATTATTCGATTTTTTTTTAAAAGAATTTTTTTGTTGGGACAGGATCTTGCTGTGTAGACCCATGAGACCCATGCTGGCCTGGACCTGGTGACACCCCCTACCCCTTCCCGATTTATCTGTGTGCAGTGTGCACAGTTACAGCTAGATAAGGCAATTTCACTTTTTTTTTTTTTTTTTTTGGTTACAGGGCTTGAACTTGGGGCCTGGGTGCTGTATTTGAGCCTTTTTGTGCTCAAGGCTAGCATTCTACAACTTGAGCCACAGCACCACTTCCATTTGTTTTGGTTTGAGTTGTTAATTGAAGATAAAAGTCTCACGGGGACTTTTCTGCCAGCACTGTCTTTGAATCCTCAGATCTCAGCCTGAGTAGCTAGGATTGCAGGCATGAGGCACTGGCACCGGCTTAATTTCACTTTTAAGAAGACACATTTGAAGAAAAAAAAAAACACATTTGAACACTTAATTTGAGTTTCCTGTTTGGCAGTAATTGTTAGATTTTTAGTCAGATCAGTAGAGTTAATATAATTTGTATAAATATGTTTTCTTTTAAGCTTGTGGATAATATAAAATAATTTTATTCAAGCTTCATAATCCTTTGGTATTTGCTCATTTAACATTGTGTTTTGGACAGTTTTTAAGCAGCATTATGTTCCATTATTGACATATAATGCTCAGTCAAGATTTTAAATTGAATGTGTTTTAAGCCATGGATATGTAGGATTGAGTTACTTAGCTTTTTTTTTTTTTGTAAATTCTCAGATATATTTTCTTTTTTCTGTTGGTTGTGGGGCCTAAACTCTGGGCCTAGGCACTGTCCCTCAGCTCTTTAGCTCAAGGCTAGCGCTCTACCACCTGAGCCACGGTGTCACTTCAGACTTTGTGTTTATACGGTGCTGAGGAATTGAACCCAGGGCTTCATGCATGCAAGGGAAGCACTCTACCACTGAGCCACTTTCAGATCATATATTTTCTTACCTTTTTTTTTTTCCTGTGATAACAGAATGCCAAAGACTGGATAAAGAATGGTAAATGTTTGACTTTCATTTCTAAAATTATCTGTCCAGCTGACCTTATTGGCTTTAGTATTATTATAGTTATTGCCAGTTCTGGTCCTTGAACTCAAAGCCTGGGCTGAACCTCTGTATGCTCAAGGTTAGAGCTCTACCACTTGAGCCACAATGCCACTTCTGGCCTTTTCTGTTTTAACTGTATCATCCCACTATTGTCTTTTTTTTTGTTTTTTGGTTCGAGTGGGACTTGATCTATAGGCGTGGCTGCTGAACTTGAGCTCTTCAGCTCAAGGCCAGTGCTCTACCACATGAACCACAGTGCCACTTTGGTTTTTTCTGGTGGTTAATTGGAAATAAGAATCTCATGGACTTTTCTGCTCGGGCTAGCTTTGAATGGCCATCCTCAGATCTCACTCTCCTGAGTAGCTAGGATTACAGGCATGAGCCACTGGTGCCTGGCTAAGTCTTGGTTTTTAAATATGATTTTAGCACTGCTGAAGCTGTATTACAAGAAATGGACAACATTAACATCAGACGGAATCGTCGATCAGGGGAAGTAGAACGGCTTAGAATGTGGACAGATACAGAATTTGTGAGTACTTTAGCTATGACAACTTTTGTAAGTTTTAAAAGAATTTGAGTTTGAAAGAATTTAAAAGAAGAAGGTGCAGTAGTTGGATTTTTAAAATTAATAGTTGTTTCTTCATTTCCAACTTAGTTTAAGATTTTAATGTCTGCCAGCCCAGCCCTGCCCTGCCCT